GAAGGACAGTCGACATCTCATCCAGGCTGCGACATAACTTCTGGGCTGCTGCTTCTGTTCGGAGATCAGCTCCGCGAGTCTGGCGTAGAAACATCTTGCGCTTGGGCCCATCCCACCAGAGGTTGTGAACACTAGCGGAGTGAAGCTGCCTTGATCGACATTTTGAATTCTCTCCCCATATGCCCTTCTCTTGTCGTTCTCGTTCCTCCTATGTGCAGCATCGAGAGCTAGGTTACGGGTGACAAACGGCCAGTGGATCAAAAATCCTGATGTCGAAGAAGGCTCACATATTATTACTATTACACTACTACTACTTTTTTTTTAATAAAGTGGCCCAGCCTCCTAATAGCCATATCTTCTGCCACTATTTAATTACCTTAATATTAAATATCCCAATACATAAGAAATATCCCATTTGTGTTGAATTGAGCTGCAGATCCATGGCACTACTACTACTACTACTACTACTACGGCCATAAAATGATAATAATAATAATAATAATAATAATAATAATAATAATAATAATAATAATAATAATAATAATAATAATAATAATAAAAGACGAAACACTTCCTGGCAAATCACTCAAAACACACACCTACACACACACACACACACACACACACGTCTTCCCAGCCAGTAAACAGCTGTGAGACAAGAGGCAGAGTGTTATCCCAGATTTTCACAGCTGCTGTTGGTTCTACAGCCTCCCAGGATCTCCCAGACGACTCCCAGGGCAGGGATCTCATCTCAGAGACTCGACCATAGGGACCCACACCACCTGCAGCAGTTTGGGAGCGAGGGGGAAGACTCAAAGTTTGGAGTTGTGTTGAGGACGTTTAGGCGAAGGTGGTGTGGTCAGGTGAAGGGTGAGGATGGTGTGGTCCAGGTGAAGGGTGAGGATGGTGTGGTCCAGGTGAAGGGTGAGCGTGATAATTATAACATCATTAATAATGATAACAGTGAATACAACAATAACGACAGAAATAATAATAATAATAATAATAATAATAATAATAATAATAATAATAATAATAATAATAATAATAATAATAATAATAATAATGATAATAATAATGTCATCAACAGTCAAATTTAAGGATTATCTGAAATGCATATTACAATAGAATTAATGATGATTGTGTCATACACAGATGAGTTATAATTATGAAATGGAAATTATGTTGGTTAATTGCTTACCTATGGACCACCCTCTTCATACATCTATGCATTCATACATATACCGCCGGTCCCACAATTACTTGGCCATACCTTACCTTTAAATAAAAAAATCACAGCTTATCAGTAATTAACATGAGCTGGCAGACTCTACTCATCAGCTAAGTGCTGCCACGACCCACCACTAATCTCATATGTTACTCTCAAGGATTATTTCCCTGCCTAGCGGCCCCTAATTCTCCTTCCCAGTCCCCTCCTCCTCTTCCCAGTCCCCTACCCTCCCCCCTTCCCTCCCCTCCCCTCCTCTCCCATACTCCCATCAAGGCAATGAGCTATACCCTCCGGATGTAATGGATTAATCAGTAAGTCGGTAATGTGTACATCACCTTCAGGAGGCAGCGGTGGGGACGGGTGTGTTTGTATGGTTTATTGAAGGTTTGAGTTCAATCAGGTGAACTCCTTCTGGGTCAGACGACGTTACCTGAACCACCTTACTGTAAAAGATATTAACCCGACTCAATACATTTACATTTATTTATTTTTTTATTTCTATGTATTCAGTAATTTTTTTTTGTCTATTTTTTCATATATTTTCGAATCTATTAATATAGGAATTGATCTCCTGTGCATTTATTTAGTTATTTGTTTATATATGTCCACTTTCTTAATTAAATGTACAAAACCAACTGAGGGACATTAGTATCACGCATAACGCTCCACCAGCTAGACGGATTATGTGAGTCGTGGACGCGAGGATATCAGATATTACGGATAAAGGTTGAAGGAAAGTAAAAAGGTCCTGGAGGTAAATGTTTTCTGAGCCAACATGTTGAAGCGGCGCGGCGTGGAAACCCTACCTGAGGCCAACCCAGTGTGATGACTTTGTTCCCGGGAGTGACTGGTCAGGTGCAAACACACACCTCTCTCCAGATTGTGCGCCTCTCTCTCTCTCTCTCTCTCTCTCTCTCTCTCTCTCTCTCTCTCTCTAAACAACTAGAATTGCTCTACACACCCAACTACACAACTACCACCACATCTGCTCACACCTGCCATCAACAGGTGTATTGGTGGCTTCACAGGTGCACGAAGTTCGTTCCCTCTAGGGCTTCTAAGCCTCGGCTATGTATGTATGTATGTATGTATGTACTATCTGGACTGATGAAATAATTATATATATATATATATATATAGCCTCGTGTTTCCTAGCTGGATTCGGTAAAATGCTACTCCGATCACATAGTTTGCGCGGGCAATTCCCAATGGAGGTTCATGATGCTTAATAACCACGATGAACAGGCTTTGTGTGGAATATAACAAAGCCTAGGATTGCCTTTGTTGTCCTTGTGGCGCGGTGGTAGCGATCGCTGTGCACACGCATAGGTCCAAGGTTCGATTCCCGACTAGTAAGCTATTGTTTGTGTGCTATATGGACTGATGAGATATGTATGTATTAGTTATTAGTGGATAGATGGATGGCATTTCACTAAGCCTTTTTCTACCCTAGTTACACTGCACATAGAAGACTACTATCCTCTTATCAATAGGATGAAGTCAATCACACACTATCGGTTTTGTAGAGGATTGCGGAAGGATAATTTTGATGAATTTGTGGACTCCTCCTCCTATCCCTTCTCGTCCTATTCTATCCATTTCACTATCCCACCGTGTTATCGAGGTACGTTAAGATATTCTTTTATCCTCCCCATCCTCCACTAACCTAACCTAACCTAACCTAACCTACCTGGGGGTCTCCGTGTGTTGTACCGACGACGCTAATTGGAAAGTTCTTCCCTAAACTTGAGGCAGAACTAATTTGACTTAGAAAAGTTCCATCAAAGGTTAAGCTCTCACACATTACCACAAGGCCTGAGTTACCGCCCTTTTTCTCTCTCTCTCTCTTTTTTACTCGCTCTCTCCTCACTCTCACTCCACTCTTACTCCCTCTTTGTGGTCAGTGAGAGGGACCTGATTCTCTCTCTCTCTCACACACACACACACACACACACACACTTTCTCTCTTCCAACTTGGATTTTTGTCAAGTAAAAATTTCTCGTGTTAAAATTTTGACCAACAAGGTAAGCTTCACCTGGACTTCCTAGCGTCAATTAGCGAGGTCAAAGGTGACATGTGTAACCCACCGCCCTCTCTCGTGACTTCTAAATAACTTGGGCTTTAAATGTCATGGTTGTACCTGTAGGGGGAGGAGGAGGAGGAGGGGGAAGTTATGACCTTACCTATGACCTACTGAGCTTTTATTAAGGTCATAATGTATTAGATAGTACCTTAGGGTGTCATAGGTCAACTTTTTAATGACCCCTGAGATGGTTTATCGTATTCGTGAAGTCATCTTGTTGAATTATAGATGGTTTGTTATATTAGAATCAAAGGTCAGGAATGGTGACCTCATCTAAAGCGGGTTAGGCTAGGTCAGAGGTTAGTTTTTGTATTGGTGGTTAAATGTCATTAATGTTTGACCTTCCTCCTTTAGAATATCTCGTTGGGTCATGAGTCTCTCTCTCTCTCTCTCTCTCTCTCTCTCTCTCTGCTCAGGTGGTGTTTCATGAAATATTCAGCAGCGTGTTTAAAGAGTTAGGTGTGCTATGTGCGGGCCGGGCGAAAGAACGTGAATAGAACTACAACTCTCTCTATGTATCAATATGTTTCTTACTTCTCCTTTCTCCCCTCTTCATCTTCTACTATTCATTCATTCATCTTCATTCTTACTTATTCTAATCCTTTTACTCCTCTTCCTCAATCTAATTTCTTGCATTGCTCTCTTTTTGTACTAACCTAACCTAACCTAACCTAACCTAACCTAACTGGAGGAATTTAGGTTAAGTGTAGTGTGAATAGTTTACTCTTCTGGTTTCGTTATCCTTGTTACATGCTCTGTGAAGTAATCTAACAACACCACCTGTTGAGTGAAATTTCAACTACCCAACAGCGTTATCCCCTTGTCTTGCTGTTTCGAGTCCTCATTATAAGGTTGTGTTTGAGTGCCTTGGGACTCACTTGACACCCACCAGCCACTGACGGAACAGGTAATCTTCGTTCCCAATTGTTTTTGGTGTTTTTTCTGTCTTTTGTCATGTTTAGTCGGCAATATTAACCGAAGTTTTATTTTGTTTTATATCTCGTGTGTTCCTTGCTGGGGTTGTAAGCTGTAATGAAGAAGAAAGACCAGAGAGGTTCCGTCCCAGTATTGGTCGCTCTAAAGTAGTGTCAGGTACCTCGACACTTTCAGTAAGTTTTGAGCTTAGGTTCGTATTTCAGTGAATATCCTTATTTTGTGGAATTATAAACCAGTATTTTCTTATATTTTTATTTGTTTGTGGGTGGAGTGACTGACGCCATATTGTAAAACACGACGGTGCTTAAAAAAAAAAAAACACACTAACTTAAGGATATAATACGTATAGATCCAATAAGACCAAGATAACTGAGAACCTGTAAAGTGTTAGTTTAAGCACCACTCACTTCGTCTATATCTACCACAATGCCACTGAATAAACACCAAGAAACATATCATAAAACATTATTAACTTCAGTAATAGAAGACGGGCTGCCGCTAAGTAACACCTCAAGTGTGATTTTCGTGTTTTTTCCTGGAGTAACTGGTGAGTCGTGTATTATTAAACATTAGTTACGTCGTGCTGCATACCTTTACCCAGTATTTTATCTCTACAATATCTGTAACACAGTAATCTGTTCTCCCAGCACCTGCGATACACTGTTTAAATCTTTAACATCTGTTATACTGCTTTGTTCTCTCCCAAACGTATTGGTGTGTATTACAATGTTGTGTTCTCTCCCCACCAGACGGGTCGTGGCTGGTAGACTCATGGTCGCCCTGTCAGGTGAGCGACGACCGCTCCAGGGACGTCGACGGCCTCTGTCATGGACGCCGGACGAGGAACATTACTTGCGAGGTGCAGGGAGCGCCGGCCACCCAGGACCAGTGTACGAGTCCTCCGCCCTCCAGGGAGGTATCCTGCATCACCGCCTGCCCCCAGGACTGTGTCCTGGGGCCCTGGGGCAACTGGGTCCCTTGCGTGTCCTGCGACGCCTCCCAGCGCCGCACCCGCACCGTGTTGGTGGCGCCCACACCTGGCGGCCTCCCATGTCCACCCCTCAGCGAGTCACGGCCATGCATAGCTGAATGTCTCCCTTCTGGCGTGTCCCCGGCCTTGTCTGGTGAAAAGGCAGAACCTCTGGTCAGACTACGAGTAGGAGAGTGGGGGCCCTGTCAGACCACATTCACACCTGATCATGTAGAACCAGAAGACACCGCAAATATAGAGGAAAACTCGATATTCTTCACCAGCGACCATGACTCCACACTTGCCGAAATTGACGACGATGAAGGCCTGGAGAAGAGCAACAGTATCGAGGAACTGCCGTACACAAGATCGGAGAGAGCCTGGAGTGAGCAGCAGCCCACGCATGTCGAGGAGAAGCTCACTGGACGTCCGGAAAAAGACCTCCCAAAAGTTGGACGGCAAGAGCGAGAGCTGACGTGTGTACACACGAACGGCACTCGCCTCCCACTAAGGTGAGGCAAACACAGTAACTTGAATTCTGAATTTTTAGAATAAATCCCCAAGAGTTTAAACTATCATCTCCTGCTTGTTTCCCAGACGCTCCTCGCCCCCCTCTATACTCCCCCTCCCTTCCTCGCTATGTAAAACTCACAAAACACAAATTTCTTAATGCATTCATCGTGCCATCCTTCAAATATAGGACACACAGGTATTGTACCTCTATACAACAACCAATTAATGTTTCCTCTGCTGTACAAGACCTTAGACAAATTGTGTTGGAACTGTAGTGCTGATACAGTAGGTATGTATATAGCTGTCATGTACACTGTAAGAGCGACAAGAATACTTTCATTGTATTGCACATTCATTATATTTAATAAATTTACTGTAGTTTCGTTCAAGATTCTTCGAACACTGCTGGAGACAGCTGGCAACTCAAGGCCGTTTGTTTACTATAGTACGTAGTATAATATAATATAATACGAAACAACAAAGCCCAACCATTAATTAAGCAACAGGGAACTAAGTAACCAATCACCGATAACCTTTTACATTGTCATAATTTTTACTACGTACTATAGTAAACAAACGGCCTTGAGTTGCCAGCTGTCTCCAGCAGTGTTCGAAGAATCTTGAACGAGACTGTACATGTTGAGTTACTTATGACAGGCAAGCTGGTATAGGAATTGTTCTTCTCTATCTTAAGTGTCATTTTTGGTGCCCGGCAGGAGCTGATCTGAATCTAACTTGTGGTGTGAGGGCGCGGGTTCCCACTGTGTATCTACACCACCCTCATCTTACTTACTTCTCTTAGTCTTACCCTTACTCAGTTCCGTCACCTATTCTTTTGGTAGCATGAACATTCTTTTGGTAGCATGGACATTCTTTTGGTAGCACGGACATTTTTTTGGTAGCATGGACATTCTTTTGGTAGCATGGTTCGAGGGTCTAGGCACATGGGTATGGTAATTCTGGTATCAAGTCACTTGGATGGAAATAAAGGTAAAATACTGTGGGAGAAAGGAATACACCTAAAGTACTCTAAAAACAAGTTTATTAATATGAAATCAAAGGGGAAAAGATATAGTATTAATCATATAACTACCAGGCTCAACTCCTGGGCTTATTGGAGACTCAGTTCCTACATTCTTACTCTTACTCACAACATTACTGGTGTTACATTACATGGCACTCATTGTAGATTATTTTACTCAACATACGTTAATACTGACACTAGCATATATAGGGGTCCACTACCCAACATGGGATAATTATTTCCAACTAATTATCCCTAACATACATGTTACAACACACTCTGTGGACATATACTTCTAAGGAGCAACCCAGGGTAGAACACTAGGGCTCACGACCGTTGTTATTGTGGGGTAGCCAGACACATGGAGAGTCTGGGGTCTGGCCCAACGAAGCCGTGGGGCACATTAATCAGGCCGCATATATGATCCCTGCTGGGTATCTACTATATCCGGGGCCGTTGTTGAATGGTTGCAAGAATCACAATGGGATCTGGAGAAACATGGAAGCAGCGTCAAGGGGCGTTTGGGAAGCATGACAACACAAACAACTCTCTTGTCTAGACGACAGACATATTTACGTTATATTACTTCTACACTGGGTGAATGACAATTCAACTGTTAAATCATGAACACTGGTGAACACTGATATTCACTACAATTGACTGAATCAACTGAATGGCTACACAAAAACATACCTGGAGAAACATTGAAGCAGCGTCAAGGAGCACTCTCCCTGGCTAGTCTTGGGGTATATATACCCCTGAGTTGCCAGTGATCGCTACTCACGCAATGACAATAATTACAAACAAACTAACTGTTACTCATTCAAAGATGACCCTCAGTTGACAAAGGTCTGGCGAATTACTTGCGTTGATTTACACAGACTAATTCAAGATTGAGCTTCCCAGGAGAAAGTGGAATAACAACGCATTGATAACTGTCTTCACAAAGGCGGGACTCTGGGAAGGAACACAAGTGTAGCGTCTATGGGGAAAAAAACACGTCTTTTCAGGGGTCGCTAACTCACTCATGTTTTGCGGGCGTGGAGTTTAATAAGAATCATAAGTTAAATAGATCAGCAGTCAACGTGACCATGACAGTGGGTTACTCCACCTCCAAGGGTGCTCCACCCTAGTGTTTACTCAGTATATTAGAGAGTGCACGAGGAGGGAACCCAATCCTCTACTCTGGCAGGGAATCGATCCCGGGACCCTTAGCTTCGAGGAATTCATTTTGATAGTTTACATAATGGTTGTGTTGCCTCACATAACGCAGGGTGTGTCCTGGAGCCCCGCCTCCTCCCTCATACCTGTAGTAAAGGCAGCTCCCCGGTGCAGCTGGCTGAGACAGTGTATATTGTGTTTAATTATCTAGCGGTGTCAGTTACGAGCGGCTCTCTAGCTGCAGCGCCACGACCCACCACCATTAATTTGCACTGTAGCAAGTAAGAAATTTCCTCTGGGAGTAAGTCTGCAGTTTATCAGTATAGACTCTAATTGGATTATTAAACAAGGCATGAGTCGCTAGAATTTACGGACACGCAAGAATATATATATATATATATATATATATATATATATATATATATATATATATATATATATATATATATATATATATATATATAATATGGTATTAGCATTATTTCTTCACGTGAAGATGGAATTTTTAAGTGGTAAAAGTAAATACACTGGCTAATACCCACACATTAAAAAATAAATAAATAAACAGTCAACTCCGTTATTGATATGGTGGACCCATGTTCCTCGCCGTGTAATTACGACCTGTACACGAATATTGTTGTTGTCAGCAACACAAAACAATGTCAGATTAGATCTGGTTAATTTTATTTATGTATCCAATGCTGTTTGGGAGGTGTTGGTACATGAAGTTCTTGAGGTAACTCCAGAGAAAGGAGTCATATCTGGTGAGTACGGCAGCCAAATGTTAGGAGTTCTGTTTGAGATGAGAAGATCACTTGGGAATACACCTTGTACGTATTCGGGTGTGGCATTTAATGTGTGGAATGGTGCCCCTTCTTGCTGGGAAATATGTCGCCTCATTCACACTTTTACTTCCCTTCAGTGCTGGCAAAGCCCGATCTTGGATGAGATTTTGGTAGCGTTCAGAAATGACGGTAAGAGTGTGTCCCGTGCTGACTTCTTCCCTACACTCAGTAGTTTCTCTGTGGGAAAACAGGTGTCATGTTTTGCTTTGTAACAGGTCCTTTAAGATGAAGGTGTGCCTCATTACTGAACATCCAGGAACGTCTCGTCATTTTCAGTCATCGTTGACATTTCTCTGCCAAATCGCAGTCTGGCAGCTTTATTTTATCTTGCGGAGTTTGCTTCTGGAGTATCTGTATTTTTTATATACAGTAAGTACCTTCATGTCTTGATGCATTATTCCCCTTACGCTTGCACGTCGGATCCCCAACTCTTGTGATAATCACGGTTTTGGTAATTGTGGAGAGCGTCCGACACCTGCCCTGACTCCATCAATGTTTTCCTCACTCCTGACAGTTTGTGGCCGCTCGCGATGGTCTTCATTGTAATACTTAACATTGTCTGTTGTTTTCTATACAGTAAGTCTATTATTCCGAGAATAATAATTCTGACTAGTGTTTTGGAGACCTTTTTTTCTCACTTGAAATTTCGTTGAGTTTCTGCACCAGAGTTGCGACAACTACTTTCCCATAACCTTCACTCGCTGCTGCACAGTCAGCTCACCTCTCATGATGAACTGTGTGGTTGACACAACTCTGAGGTGCTTTGACCATATATCCTTAGAATAAAAGAGCGTCCATAAAAAAAATAGATTTGAAGTTTGTAAACTCATAATCTTCGTGCACTGTTCGTCACGACACACCACACTTAACTCAGGTGTAACACCTCAACTATATACAATCACACATACAACGAAATTCACGGTCGAGGCAATTAACTAGACTGAACAGGAAACACCAGTTCAAAGAGAATAATATATTTCCTCATGAAGGTGGTGCCCAGACCGGTATATGGACACACGTGGATCTAAAGCTCACCAGGAAGCACTAGAGGTGTTGTTATGAGTACCATAAACGTTACCTGCCACTGTCACCTACCCTTGTCCTCTTATGGTGACTTACCCGCTAGATTGCCTCTCCGAGATCAATTAGCGAACAACGAAATTCAATTTCATAGTTACCGGGGATTTATCTAGGTAGTTAGCCAGGACTAATTAACCGCTTTAGTGAGAATCTTAGAGGATTACATACATTATTTTCCTTTTAAGGTAACTTGTCTATTTATTCTCAAGTACAGGTGAGCACAGCGGTAATGATACCAGGTGTGGTGAGGGCTGGAAGGTCTCTCTCTCTCTCTCTCTCTCTCTCTCTCTCTCCCTGAGCCTATGAACTCTGAACTATCAGTCTTGAGTATTTATCGTGAAAGTTCATATCAATTTGTTGAATCCCGAAGGCAGTCTTATGTAAATCCTAAGTCGTGTTTTCCTTCCTTCCTTCCTTCCTTCCTTCCTTCCTTCCTTCCTTACAAGATTTACACTGTATCAAACTTATTTTAGGAATGAACCCCAAATAATCAGAGCCATTATAAAAGACGGTGCTCAAGAGATTTATATTGTGTGTCCCCGAGCGCTTGACGTGTTTACCTCAGCCACGAACAGGTGCCTCAGGTGTACCCAGCGGACTCACTCACGTGTTGGGTACAGCTAATACTCACCACCTCAGGTATACACCCCGGCAATATCATACACAGTACATATTATTATTATTATTATTATTGTTTTTATTATTATTATTATTATTATTGTTTTTATTGTTTTTATTGTTTTTATTATTATTATTATTATTATTATTATTATTATTATTATTATTATTGTTATTATTATTATTATTATGCTGTTTTTATTACTGTAATATTTTTTATTATCAGTTTTTCTTAGTTATTATTATTATTATTATTATTATTATTATTATTATTATTATTGGTTAGTAGTATAATTATAATAACCTTTATACTCCACTAACCCACTCCTCGTGTACGTCCACAGCGTGTGCTTGACTGGTCGTGGACAGGTGGCGGAGCGGGTACGGACGTGTGTGGTATCCAGGGACTGTGTTGTGACTCAGTGGTCAAGCTGGTCTACTGTCGTCCCCGGCTGCGTCGCCCCCAGTGGACTGGTAATGTACTGCGCGTTTCTGTATTGCATCTTAGAGCTGTAATTTATATCTTGTATGTCTCGACGCCTTTTGGTGATATGTCACTGTCACAGCCTAGAATACAACGAGCTGTATACATGTGACGGCGAGTGTCATAGCCTTGACGAGCCGCAAGGACCAGTACGGTTATAACACAATGTAGATTAAACCTTTAGCTATCTATGGAGACAGTGTGGCTGACAATGTGTTCGATCAACTTCACATCCCTATATGTAAAATAATGTGCCAAGAGACAGTATATACGCTTTAGTTCCCCTGGTCAGCGAGACAATGGATATTCTCAATTATCAACCTTGTGTCTCTCTAAAATTAAGCAGCAATTTTGAAAAGCCCGAACACGTCTAGGAAAATTTGCATACAATCAAAAATTTCCGCCTTGTTAGAGACAGACAACGAGCAGGTATAGTTTGGGGACCTTATTTCCGGCTCCCGGTAACTAACTCACTACCTCACGTCCTAACGATGAAGATGACGCTGATAATGATAATTAGGATGATGATGGTGATAATGATGATGATGGCGATGGTGATTATGATTGTCTCTTATTTGAATAGACTGTTTTAATCATTTAGACACTTGGGGGGAGGTGATGTAAAGGGAGAAGAATGTAAGAAAAAAAGGTGAGAGGGAGAGGGAGAGTGAGAGAGTTCTTACCGACCTGTTACCGGGTCGATTGAGTAGCTACTGAGAGAGAGACGTTGTGATCAGTTGAGGAGGACGACCTGGGTGTTGGACGTCGTGGTCAGCTGAGGAGGACCTGGGTGTTGGACGTCGTGGTCAGCTGAGGAGGACCTGGGTGTTGGACGTCGTGGTCAGCTGAGGAGGACCTGGGTGTTGGACGTCGTGGTCAGCTGAGGAGGACCTGGGTGTTGGACGTCGTGGTCAGCTGAGGAGGACCTGGGTGTTGGACGTCGTGGTTAGCTGAGGAGGACCTGGGTGTTGGACGTCGTGGTTAGCTGAGGAGGATGGTCAGCTATGAGGAGGGATATGGTGCGGACGTCGTGTGTAGTTGGCCAGGGAGGGACTGGTGTGGACGTCGTGAGTCAGCTAGGAGGACCTGGGTGTTGGACGTCGTGGGTCAGCTAGGGAGGACCTGGAGTGTTGGACGTCGTGGTCAGCTGGGGAGGGACCTGGGTGTTGTTGGACGTCGTGGTCAGCTGAGGAGGACCTGGGTGTTGGACGTCGTGGTCAGCTGAGGAGGACCTGGGTGTTGGACGTCGTGGTCAGCTGAGGAGGACCTGGGTGTTGGACGTCGTGGTCAGCTGAGGAGGATCTTGGGTACCTTATTGAGTGACCGAGGCATTTGTGCGAGAGAGTGGGAAAATGAGCGAGTTAAGAGAAAGTGAGAGAATAAGGGAAAGTGAAGGAGAATAGGGGAAAGCGGGAGAGAATAAGAATGCGTAAGCGAAAGTGAGCGGACGTAAGAGAATGAGAAAGTGAGAGAGAAAGAAAGAAAGAGAGAGAGAGAGAGAGTGGGATAGAAAGTATGACAATGTAAATGAAAGACAAAATGAGATACAGTAACAGAGAAAGAAGTAAAAAAGTGAGGAGGCGTTACGAAGAGAATAAAGATGGTATTATTGTTCCGATACAGGTACCTCCTCCCTCTCCTCCTCCTCCTCCTTTCTTCTTCTTTTGTCTTCTCTCATCTATCTTTTATCCATATTCTCTCTTTTTCTTCTACTATTGTATAACTTCTTTGTCCCTCTTTCCTCCTCCTCCTCTTATTCTCTGCTACACACACACACCTCACACACTCACACACACACACACACACACACACATGCACACACACACACACACACATGCACACACACACAGCATCCTCATACATATCCTGCTCTTCAAGCGCTGACTGAGGCTCTGTTTAAGAGAGAGAGATTGGTTCATTCCCATGAAATTCTCAGGCCGTGAGGATGTGTATGAGAAGAGAAAGTCATTGCTTAATGTTGCTTACCCGCACGTGATTAGTAATGCTAGCCTGTGCAATAGGAACCAGCAGAGGTCCGTGGTGAATTGTTTTGGTGTCTGTCTATCTGTCTCATGTCTGTCTGTCTTTGTTTTGTGGGTCTTATCACTCATATATTGTAGTTCAGTGGTTCATTTCATCACAAGTAGTTCATGTTTAGTGTGTGTTTGATCGATAATTTGTGTTTCTTCAATTTTTACACACACACACACACACACACACACACACACACACACACACACACTTCTAAATCCTATACCGAAATCTCAAACATCATTGAGTCACACTTTTACCAATTACACAAATTTCTTACAAAACTAAACATTTCCAACTTCAAATAGACTCCAGTTTTTCCATGTTAATGTTGTCGACCAGCACACCACAGTTTTCAGGATATTAATAACGTAACGAAAAAAAAATTACTTTGAATACGAAAAATTTTGGTGCTTTTTAGCGTCAGGTGAAGACACTAATTAGTGGTCGGCAGGTAAATGGTGCTGGAAAGCTTGGTACTCCATTGAGGGGCCAGGTGGTGGTGATGTTGAAAGGGGTAGCGATGAGGATAGTGGTGGTGCTGGTAGTCAGGGTGATTGTGGTTGTGGTAATGAAGCATTTACCCATTGAGAAATCGAAAACGAATCTCAGGAAAGAGATCAGGAACTACCACTCCCTTGCATTACATATAACTAACTCTGATCATTCAGCGCCAGTGATCTCCCTCTCTATGCACTGCACATTACTTCAGATTTTTTTTTCTAACGCCAACTGTAGGGAGAATCACAGAGGAAGAAAGAATGTTTGATCGCCATGCTGAAAAAAAAATTGAAAAATGCCCACCCCCCCCCCAAATTAATGAAATGATTCGTAATGAACACAGATGACTTGTAACCCGTGTCTAAGTCTCTGGATGTTATACTTGAGTGTTGATTTGTTGTGTTTGTTGTGTAATAGACCTTATGGCGTTAAGATTATGTTCGGGATTTTTTGAGAGGTTTCCTGGCCTGTAAAAAACTGAATTAGTGTAAGCTTAAGCAAGGTATGAGGGAAATAAATGGTTAGTGGGTGTAGCAAGACCGGTCCCTATGAGCTTAAACCAGGTGTGAGATGTTCAGTCGAGTTTGTTACCTGTGAGGTGTGTTTTCAGGCAACTGTAAATGACCTCCTGGGTTGTACAAGTCAAGCACTACACAACTTTCACCATGAAGCCCGTTTGTTTACATTAAGTTGTGACTATGTGCCCAGCGTTCTTGTGTGAAAGACCCTTTTACTGGATAGTTTAATGTCAACCTGTGACGGTAAACCAGACATGATATTATGAAGGGTATACGAAGTCGACCCAAAATAATTGAAGTATAGAAGGTATGTGTGATAGATACTGCAGTCTTGTTGTTTCGGTGGTTCAGGGTGACCAGAGGCGGCCACCTAACTGTAAGTAATTGGGAGTGGTCATGTGGCAAGTCTCCTCCTCTCTCTATATATGTATAAATGTATACGTGGTCCTGGCCAGTCCCTGTGTATATCCCCACTCTGACCAGGTCCCTCTGTGTACGAGGAGTTACCTCAATTACACAACCCCGGGATAATCCATGTAATAATCCCTTTGAAATTTCACCTCCCGTTTCTGGACCTCACAGTTACACGCTAGCTGGAACTAAAGGCGGGGGTTAGTGGCTCTGTGAGGATGTACACGAGTGTGTAGTGGCGGCTCTGTGAAGATGTGGTGGCTCTTGTGAGGGTGTGGTGGCTCTTTGAGGGTTTGGTGCCTCTGTGAGGGTTTGGTGCCTCTGTGAGGGTGTGGTGGCTCTGTAAAGGTGTAACGGCTCTGTGGAGGTGTAGTGGCTCTGTGGAGGTGTAGTGGCTCTGTGGAGGTGTAGTGGCTCTGTGGAGGTGTAGTGGCTCTGTGGAGGTGTAGTGGCTCTGTGAAGGTGTAGTGGCTCTGTGAAGGTGTAGTGGCTCTGTGAAGGTGTAGTGGCTCTGTGAAGGTGTAGTGGCTCTGTGAGGGTAGAGGATAGACCGTCACCGCACAATACCAGACCGTCAGTACACGCCTCACTAAAGAGAAATCAGCCAATGTTTGCTCGGTGACGACGGCCGACGCGTTATCAGAGCTGGAGGAGAGGGCGAATGAACCCCGGACCAACTAAACTAAGTTACCATCGGCACCAGACACCCTCCTTGTATGATCAGCGAACACTCGACACACACTAAGACCCCCAGATATTCTCGTAAGTCAACATATGTAAAAAATTAACTCGTATAAACTGACATACTAAAGATTTACAGATACGCTTCGAAATGGCGGTATGATTCGACGAGGAAAAACATGAGTACAGTGTGTAACCTCAGATATCCGTAGTGTATGGGGAATTGACTGTGCCGGATAATCATATTTCCCGGATGCTTGAGTTACTCTTAATAAATAAGCATCACCATAGTAATTATTATAAAAGGAATAAAAGGACTGTACTCGCTGCAGTGGTGTGTGTGTAATCCTGTTGTACAGTATCAGATACAGTTACTTGTTGATCTTGAGTAAATATGGGTACAGTAATCATTTAGTTCACTATTTTTAAGGCTTGATAAGTTCTTAAACACTACAGTTCTTTAAGATTACACTTAAATATATTTTTTCGTCACTATGGGCACTGTAATGGCAGCGTCTAGTGTGATTGGCCAACATGGAGGACGCAGACAGCGCCTCTAGTGGCCAGAAAGAAGACCATGGGCGAAGCGGCGCCAAATTCAAACCGAGTTTCTTGATTTTTGTAAATGTGATTAGACATTACTAACTGGAAATGGACCCCACAAAAAAAATGCCGGTTGAGAGAGAGTTCCGGTTGGTTAAATGCCGGATATTTGAGGTTATACTGCACTGTAGTTAAGAATTACTCGTTGGTTGTTGAGTGACACTTGAAAAAAAGGATCACCTAAGGATTAGACACCCCAGTATAATTCACCTGATGATTAAACACCATCACACTACGTGGGGGTT